GAAAAAAAAAAAATATTTGTAGTAGCTGTGTTAGGCGATCAAGAAAACTCGGTGCGACCCTGGGCGTTGTAACCATTCATCAGTCAAATGGTATATTAGTCAGAATATAGATGAACTATAAAAACGGTGTTAACGATGTGAATTCTTCAACTGAGAGGTGATGTCAGGTGTCCCAGAAAGAGTGCGCAATCACTACTTATATCTAACTTTTTCTACTCGGGACAAAAAAGGAATAAAAATACAATTTTATACGTTCTGAACTGTTATCAAATGCAGCCCTCAACTTTCCCCCGATTTCCAGAGAATCCCAGTTTTTTGGCGGTCAACGCATTTGGTCATTATTGGACTAACATGTATGATAATTTTATCCACTAGATAAATTTCCCCAAGTAATGAGGTAACTGTCACATTTCCCCTTATTGCAACTATGACCGATGTGTAATAAATAGCGTATTACATTCCATTGATTTCATAGCGCCATCTTTATCGTCTTGGACAAACTGGTGTATAACTCATTTCTATCCATGAGCACTAAACGGATATGAAATGGAATGGTTTTTAGCGTCCTACTTTTCTTCTTCTTTTCGTTGATATTTAAATTGTGTTCCCACGGCAGTGATGTCGCAGACGGGATTATTTTTGTACGCCAACCGAGGTAATGAAGACGTGACACTGTTTAACCCGTATTTTTGTTAAATTCAAATAAGGAAAATGATTACTGACCTTCAAGCAAATATTTATTAAAATAATTTGGATATAAAAAGTCAAATGTATTTTAGATACCACCCCAGATGGTCGTGGTCGTGGTCGTTACGCTATTGATTACTAGTTAGATAAGATTACTAGTTGAAGATCCCAGTTTAGGCACCCAATGTACAGATTACTACTAAGTATGGTCAAATAAAACACTATTTATGGATAGTAATTACTACAGTTTATTATACTGCGACGTTTCAACAAGATTTCACAAGTCGTTATCAATCAAATCAACACAAATATACTTTTCATTAATTGTGTTTTATTTGATTATGCTCCAATTACTAATTTGGGCAAGAGGATTTTTATTGAATATGTAGAAATTGCTAGGTCGTCTGTGAAACCTTGTAATTAATCCGTAACCTGATTGGCAGTCAGTTAAACTTTGTGGTTATGAAATTGTTTTATTAGAGTTTATCTAAAGGGAGATAACTCCATTTTTGTGATGTCAGATTCTTTTGGTACGGATCTAAAAACGTCGATATTAAGACCCCCTTTTCTGATTTTGTAAAAAAAATATTTGTTTAGGAAAGTGAGCTGACGGAAGCCTTAGGGAATTTGTGCATTTCCTCCGACACAACAAAAATAGTTGCGGGTCACGTAAGAAATCCGTAGAATTTGAAATTTTAGAACTAGCTCGATATCTGGGCTTTGGATGGCCAAAGGGTTTGGTGTGTGCACCTTATGTCGTGGGGTCCACTGACTAACCTAACGACGCTTCTCCTTGTTTTCCGGTTACCCCCCCCCCCCTCTGCTAAAGACCCTTCTAAATCTCTCTCTCTCTCTCTCTCTCTCATACTATAATAAGTGTTGTATTGTGTTTGTCCAAAAATAATGTAGGTAAGTAAATAAAATGTGTGTATTGGTGAAATGAGATGCTAAGCTGTATTATTTTATTTTTTAAGATAAGGTACGAGTAAAATGTGAAAAAGCTGAGTTATGTAACTACCGGGAAAAGATGAAAGAAGCCAGAAAAAAGCTTATATGTTATTGTGCGTATTGTATTTCTCTTTAACCTGTTTTATCAGCCCCGAGAGTCAACAGTTAATACAATATGGAGTCCATATGTAGAGGAACCAAAAAAGATTGAGGGTGGAAGTTTCTTAGACAGATGGACAACATGTGACTGACAACCAAGGGCGAATACCGAAATATATCAAAGAGGGTTGTTGAGACCGATTTTCGGAATTTGAAAAATTCTGCAATGCCACAGTTGTGCAAAAACATTCACTATATTCATGGATTAATCTTTGACCTAGAAGGGCCAATATATATAGCAACCTTACAGATTGCATTCAAATTATCTACACCCGCGCCCTCCCCTCAATTTTTAAAATAGATTCTCTTATCTAACCCAGAGCATGGTAACGCGTACATTTTTTGCAAGAATGAAATGATCTGATGTGGCTAAAGGTTGTTGATCTGGTGTCGATTAAAGATTGGGCCAGGTTTTTTTGGGTTTTTTTTAACCGAATCAAAGATGTCTAGTCATTTACATCCGTCTTAAAAAAAATTACATCGACTGTTGCATAAAAGTAGAACGTTAAGCCCCATTTCATTTTCATTTACGATATTTTTGAAATCTCTCTCTATCATACTGGAATATCCCAACGCAGGGACCGAACACGGGATCTTAGTCACAGGGCTACCGTGGCTGTTAGCAACAAATGAACAAAGTATGCAGGTAGCAAACAATTTCAACCTGTCTGCTAATATTTTACAATCCAGAACAAAAAAAGATATGTTCAAGTAACCCGTTCAGTATTTCCTACGCTTGATCTTAAACGTATTTTGAAAATGTCAGTTACCCCAATTTGTACGGTTTATATGAATTAGGACCAAAAGCAATAAAACTAAGTACGGAAACCGGAAACAAATTCCACTATGGCTTCCATTTAATCTTTGTCAATAGAGACTTTAGAATAAATTCAACCCTCTTTAAAGAAGACGTCTACACAACAACTATGCCTCTAGAAAATAAGAGCCTTAGTAATGAAATGAAATGAAATGAAATGAAATGGAGTTTAACGCCCTACTGTTTTTCTTTTCTCCGAACTGGGCTAATGAAGACGGGCATACGCCATACAGTATGCTATCAGGGAAATTTTGCCCGGACAGCGGCACCACGGCCTACTCTTATATCGAATCCCAACTGTCAAGGGATCTTTTACGTGCACACCAATGTGTACACGGGATCTAGGTTTTTCGTCCCATCCGAACAACTAGATAGCTCTCCTTGTCAGACCCTCCGTCGTGCATCAATGACAAGGGGGAACCGTGTCGGAAAATCCCGATGAGCTTTCTCGGTCAATGCAGGGATCGAACACCTGACCTCCAGACTAGCGAGTCAGCGTCTTACCCATTTAGCCACCGTGATCCCCGATAAGAGCCTAAAACAGCAGCTTATCCGAATGGAAATGAAATGTTTAACGTCCTACTCGACTGGGCTAATGACGACGGCTATACGCCATAGAATTTTACCAGACAGCAGCCTACTCTTTTATCGAATTCCACCCGCCAATGGAACTTTTGCGTCCAATCGAATGTGTACATGGGACCTCGACGTTTTGTCCGATCTGAACGACTATACGTTGTCCCTTGCCATCCTGCCCATTTGACAAGCGCGAACCACGTCGAAAAATCCCGATGAACTTTCTCGGTCAACGCAGAGATCGAGCACGGGATCCCCAGGCTAGCGAGCCAACGTCTGATTCACTGAGCCACCGTGGCTCCCTTATCCGAATGGAAAACTTGATCAAATATGACAAGGATACATTTTGCTTTTAAGAAATAAAATGATCTCTGTCTCTAGTATATATATATATATATCTCTCTGGAACAGAAAGTTCTAGAATGTTCATCCTCCCCGACCCCAATGCTTCACACCAAATTTAATAATCAATAGGATTCATCCTCTCACAGCCCTAAAGCTTCACACAAAATTTGAAAACTTTGTAACCTCTGTCACGTTCACATTGTTTTTCGGAAAAGGAGGCATAACTGATGCCACAAAGTTTAGAGAAAAAAATCCATTAAAAGATGTAGCCGCTGTCACGTTCACAATATTTTCTTAAAGATGGGCATAACTGCGGAACGGAAGCTCGCATAATGCTTCATACCAAATTTGACAAAACATTCATACCAAATTTTACCAAACATTCATAACTTCGCTCAGAATAAAGTAATTTGACTGAAATTTTCATTATATTCAATTATTGTCGTTATCTGTTTTTGAACAATTATAGCAAGAATGGTCAGTACTTTATCTAAATCTTACATAATACTTCTTTAATACTGCATATATTGTACTGTTATAATATATGTGAACGATCTGGCTTGTACCATCGTAAAACATTTGAGAGTGGGGGGGGGGGGGGTTCTAACGCGCTAGGTGTCGATCATTAGATATGATAAGGTCGCCGATCTAACATTGTGTCTTTTCTCCAGGTACCCTGGCTTCATTCCGAGAGCCACGGTGCCTCAGTGAGTAAGACACTGGATCGCTAACCAGAAGGTCCGGGATCGTTCTAGGTGTTTGGAGAGAAAGTTCCCCGGTGATTTCCAGCTTGCCTTTTCCTTGTCAGTGTTACTGAAAGTAGTGAAATGATGGCCTACCACATACAACGTCTAAGCACAAGAACTATCGTGATCTTACTAACCAAATAAATTTCACAATACCAACACAAAATCAATGGTAACCGTGTTTTTAATTTTATTTTGAACCGTGTAACACCTGGTGCTAAGAGTGTCAAATTAACAGCAGATGGTGACTAGAACAGTCAACATCAACAAGTCTTTTAAATATAATCAATACTGTTTGTGTCTAAGGCGTTTTTATGAAATTGCAACCCACTTAACAGTTAGCTGCATAACATGACAAAATAGCACACCGATGGGTTAAATTATTACACATTTTGGTAGATATGGCAACCAATACAGATAGGTGTCCGGGTGCTCTAGATCGTAAGGTCTGTTTTATAGATGGCTCACATGTTTGTATGTGGCAAGGAGTCCTATCGTTAGCATAACCCCAGTAGAAATTACCTCTAAAGAACCGGTTCACGAACGAATAATTGAATTCTCCACGCATGTATACGCCTGCACGCAAAACTGTATCATAGTTTATATTGATTGGCAGTTATACGATTCTTAAGTCAATAACATTGTATCTAGGCATTGCTTAGAAACTACTGTCTATACACGAACCTTCCTGGACATTCATATGCACGAGACCTCCCTGGATAAGAAAGACTACTAAAGTTTGTCAATTCTTTTTATTTATATTTATTCGCCTGGATAGTTTAATATTTACGTGGATAAGTAATTCAAAATGGATTTTGCCACGGTGTTCGTTATTTGGTATCAAACCTTATTATAACTCGGAGTAAGTAAGATGACTTTTTTATGATAACAAAATAGGCTATGCATTTTTTTATAATTTCATAAACATATCAATTTGTCCCTTCCTTTATACTAAGACTTAGTGGTATATTTTAACTGATGAAAATAACTCTAGGGTATTTCTCAACAAGAGAAAAGGGAGTTTTATTATGCGTTATCATTAATAAACTATGTTTTGTATTACTGCTTCTTCTTATAATTAAAAAAAACCTATTATTCAGGATAAACATTTTTCTAGCATTTATTTCAAGAAACAAGAATTAATTTTTAAATGTAGAATATAGTCATTGCTGTAGGTGAATCTACAGTCTTGATCGGATAAAGGGACTCCATATTGCATAAATTAAAAACTCTTAATGCCAATCTATCATTGAAAATCAAACAATTTCAAAATTGTCAATTTTATATTTACTCACAATATTTTATATCTGGGCTAAAATTATACTACAATCTATATTAGAACTACTCAACAATTTCCTGATAAACATGTTTTGACTAATCTCTATACGATGTTAGTAATTCCCTGTCTCAGTAATATCGAAATTGTATAGTCTGGCTTATTATATTTACAGTTTACTGTGAAAAATATTTTTTTTTAAAAGAAGACAATAAGCATAATTAAATAAAAAATGCTGTTTGTCAGATTTATTGTAGCTTCAGTTATATATCCATATGTAAGGGTGCATCCGATGGAACAGAGATATTTAACACGTGTTTAAAATAAAGATATACGTCACTATGACGAGGTATTATAATTGAGTCAAGACTGCATGCTGATGGCAATATAAGAATTACGGCCCGTTCCAATTATAAATGAGACAAGTTAAACTATACTAGTCAGCTGTTACCATTATTGACAAAAATGCTTGAGTTCTTTCTTGTCTTCTTACAAGATTTGGACTGTAATGGCTTTAAGCCTATTTGCATTTTATGGAAACATTTCCACAACATAATCCACAATGATTTTTTAATTAAGAAAGCGAAATCAACGGAAAATAAGCTTGCGGGGTGGATTCAATGGGATCAGAATTTATCAACAAAGATTGTGAGTGTCGCGGGCCTGTTTATAAGGTTTATAGACCAAACGGCCTTAAACTAAACCGGATAAATTTTGATCAGAATCCAGTGTTGTAATCAATCTCATTAAAACACAGACCCTTTTTTGTTTCGTTTTTTTATAGTTCAAAATTTCCTTTTACTTGTCTTTACTACACTAGGATCTGGAAGAGTTGTTATATTACCGACGTTTTGGTTGAATTGAGGGATTAGCCAATAAAACGGTCTGTTACGGCGACTTCTTGGCGTGCCATGCACGGTACTGTGGGTAAACCACTAGAAAGGTCAACGCTGATTGATAAATGTCTGACGTCATAGGTCAAAAGCCGCTCGTAGACCCCTGACACGACCTTTCAGTACAACCGGTCAGATCTTCATGTAGTGTAGGCCATCGAAAGTATAAGAAACGAAACGACATATAGATTTGTATTTTAATCAGATTGTGTTGTAATTTACGTAAATGTTAACAACGTATTTGACCGTTTTGACTCAACAAAATATTTTGACCATATCAAGTTGTATCGTTTGCCGAGGATATCTTTATAAATATTGAACGGAACAGAACCATTTTGGACATATATTCCTTTTAGAGATTAAACTTTCACATTATTGTAGTTTACAAAGAACTAACAATTCACCAAATGATGTTCAAAGACTTAAAGATAATACCAAGTAATGTATTTCAATAATCCCAGAAAACTTGGAATCAAAATCAGAGTAATAGGCGCCAGTCAAGCTTGAGCCAACTGTTATTGCCTCCCTTTTATTGCATCACCTTTAGTTGGGCAGCTAAATCTTTCAAATCTAGATACAGGCACTAAAATGTGCATGGGTTTCCGTTTAGTGTCATCTATTAAGAATAGACCGTCAGCCACTTGAATTTTTAAAATAACCACCTTTTTTCGAGATGACTGCCATTCTCGGCTTTTCTGTCACAGAATGTAACCACATGGACCGATTGAGGGGATTTCTATGCATCCACAATTTCATGTGGACGTATAATGTTGTCGCCCATCTCCGTCCTTCCGGCTTCTGAACGTCGGGACGTCCGTTCACTTTTTGTTTGTGGACGATCCAGAGGTCCCAAGTTTTATCCGATTTGGATGAAACTTTAAATATACATTTATGTCTAACATGTCTGTATAATTATGAAATATGTACGATGGTTGTGAACTCTCAGATGAAACTTACGATATATGTTAACGACCAAAGATATTGGAAGATTATGGCCCTGGCTTTTACACAGAATGCAAATTATGTACAACGTCTGTGGACCCTGACTTAGATGAAATTTAACATATACGTTAAGGTCAAAGAGGTCTGTGGTGCGCATTAGACCTTCCATTCCGGATTCATGGCTCGTGCCTTTCGAGCAAAGTTTGTGAACCCTCTAGAGCTCCCAAGTTTTTCCCAAATTATATGAAACTTGAATACATGGTAAGGATCAATCAAACAGGGCAATTGCAAAAAATATAATAATTCGTTTCCTTAAAGTCGACCATCTTGAAAATGGCGGCCATATTGGATTTTCGAGAGGCTAATGGGGTTTTTTTTCAAAAGAGTAGTCGGAGTATGTTTGCCAATTATGATACTTAATTAATTGTATCCAAATTGAACGATTCCCTGTTTTAAGCAGTTAGCTGCTTTAGTACGTAAACCACAACGAATTAAGGATTGGCTGAGAGAAAATTGGCCTTAATTTGCCATTTTTAACTGGTGACCAACTAATCCGCATTTCACGCCATTTCGTGAATTACATATACAGTCAGAGACCAGGTTACCATATCATGTGAATGGATGCTCTTATTTTCCAGATTAATACTGGCTGTAGTCAAAGTAATAATTTCCTAATATAAAGATGCAAATGAGCTGGGATTATTTCCTAATTTGAACAGCTAGATACTTCCATCTCTGTCGGTTACCTTCCACCGTTTAGTTTCTATTATCTATTTCGGTAAACTTACACCTTGTCCTATATAGTAAAACTTGTTTACGAGTTTGAAACCAATATTGCTACATTACTTGGCATCCGTATATTTAGTAGAAGTCTACAAATCGCAATTGATAGCCAACGGATAAAATAAAAATCGGCTAACCCAGTGGCATATGGTGAAAGGTCTTTCTGTTTTAATGCACTGCAACGGAACCAACTTTTGTGTTCATATTTCCACTACCTCATCACTTATTAAATAGACCCAATGAAAGACCCAACCCTTCCTGACAGACCTCTAGAAATGTAGCCAAACTCCGTATATCTACATTTACTTTTATTTTATGATATTATCTATTACATACCTAATTGAACGGTATATATTTAGTGAAGTTATCAAGTCAATAATGTTAATGGGGACAATAGAATTAAAAAAAAATATGCTGTGTCAATTTAGTCGTTATCAGTCAAATTGACGTTAAAATGGTCTTTGCAATTTCCATTCATATGAATCAGTCGATATAATTAATACTCATTTCAGAGGTTGAATTTATATAGTTCATCAAGAAACAGACTAAAAATCTGATTAATATAGGTTAAACTATATTAGTGATTTTTTATATTCAAATATCAAGTAACTACTATAATATTGAAAAGTCTAGAATTTTTTAATTTGGTAATATATATAAAATCATCATTTGATTATTTAATTTGAGGCTTCATTAGCCCAGCCGGAACAGAACAGTGGGATATTGAAATCTATTTCATTTCACAGATGGCGCCAGTGCTAAAATTGATTTAATGCTCAATAGTCAATAGTTTAACTAAGCCATACATGAAGAAAACTAAAGTTAATCCAAGTAATATATAAGATCCACCAAAATCAACGCTTTATTTTCATCCAAATCAAAGTGTTTTAGTTCTATTATAGTACGTGTTTTTAATTTATATATTTTCGACAACGATTTTGGAAGGGGACCTTTTTGATTTTTACCAATTAAATTGTTGAATGGAGCTATTGTGCTGTGCTCTCTATCGGTAAGAATTCGCCAGCACTCCACCCAAATTATCTCCGCTTCGACTGCCACGAATATTTGTCTGGACAAAATAGCACCCAATGAATGTATAAATGTTGTCTCGGTTCACCAGCTAGAAATGTTAACTGTATTATTAGAACTGCAACGCGGAAGTCAACAAATCGGTTTGTGGGTTTTTTGGGGTTTTTTTTTGGTTTTTTTTGGGGGGGGGGGTTGTTTTGTTTTTTGGTTTGTTTACCGTATACAAATTCACAGATTATTTACGATTATGGAAAAAATGATGGCAGACACAGTATATTACAAATAAATTATTGTTATTATTTCAGAATCAAAGAACCAGGGCAGATTAACCGTTTATAAAAAAAACACAAACAGTGAAAATTCTTTGATATATATATTATATATTTATATAACTAAAAAGACGAAAAAATATAATAGTGTTCAGTATCTTGTTATATTCTAAAGAGGATTAAAGAATTGAAAATCATCAACATAGCTTCAACTGAAAAACATTTAGACGTATTTGTGCATCGTGAATTAGCTTAAACAAACCCACAAAATAATGGCTTTACGCTGTGTTTGTTAGAGAAATTTTGTTTCAGAGAATAACTATATTTCTGATAACCTCTTCTAAACACTATGAGGTTGCGATTTATTAAATTGATTTTTAAATTAGGATTATTATTACCATTAATATGGTTTATATACTTAGCTCTAGCTTTGATGTTCGGAGACCCAGGTGACCTTTTCCCAAAATTTAAAAATGACTTAAACGGAGAGAATAATTTGCACATCGGGAAAAAGATTAAAGAAAAAAATCTGATAAATTTAAAAAATAATAATGATTTACAGGAATTAGACTTTAAAAAATTAAAGGAACAAGAGCAGTTAGTGGCACATGTTGAAAATCCAAATAAAGACATTGATGAAAATGAACATGAGATACATAAAGAGGAAAAGAAAAATATTGATTTGAAAGATTTAATTCAACCGGCTGACATATTGCTAAAAAGAGTAAAGGACGATGAAAATAATGACATCGAAAAGGCGCGGGAAAAGTTAATCAATGATGGCGGTGGGGTTGTGAGGGCCAATGATAAAGTTGAGGAAGTAGTAGAGGTATTTAAACAGGGTGATCTCATTCCAGAGGACGAGAAAAAAGCCCCCGGTGATCTAACTGGCCCTGGTAAGTCACACCAAAAACATTTGAATGATTAATATAAATTTTAAATATTGAATACTTTGCTGATGACATATTAATTAGTGATTATCCAGAACTTATCTTCAACGAGAAACAAATATAATGAATTCCATACAATATTATGATATGTTAATATACCCACAGAACTGTGGTACTAAACAAATATAATACAACCAGACAGGTAATAGTAGGGTCGCCTGTCCAACCTCGTGGGTTTTCTCCAGGTCCTCCGGTTTCCTCTCACTGCTAAAGACCCCTACTCGCAAGCGAATTATTGAAATAAATTGAAACCATATGTTAGTCCCGAAATGATCTAGTTTGTGTCGAGTGGACGTTAAACCCCATTTCTCTCTCTCTCTCTCTCTCTCTCTCTCTCTCCGACAGCTAATGTGGGCTCATTAAAGGAATTGCATTTTTAATTAAATATATAACATCGACGATCACTATCTACAATAATGTTGGTACAGGCACACGGAACGTGGAAATTGGAAACTTTTAGGTATTCACATATAGAAATTGATAATTTATATTTCTACGAAAAACTACCCGGGGTTTCAGATAGTTGTACAATAATAAAGCTGTAGGTGATCGGTATTTATTTTCATCTTTTAATAGGAGAAATGGGTAAAGCTGTTGTTATGAAGAGAGATGATTTAACCGAGACAGAGAAACTTTTGTGGGACGAAGGTTGGAAACGCAACTCATTTAATCAGTTTATAAGTGATAAAATATCTTTACGGCGAACACTTAATGATACCAGAATACAAGAGTAAGTAAAACAATTCACACCGCCGCTAGAATTCTAGTATAAACTTGTATTAAAGCCTATTCTTTCTATAACACGAGACACATCTTATAAATATAACAGGACTATAAATATGTGTCACTCGATTAAAATACTCAAATGGGATGTGGTATCATATGTTCTAGAAAAAGTAACCCATCTGCTTATAGCTAAATAGATTCGACCTTGGACTCACGCCGAACGCTAAAGGGTAACAGATAAATCGACAGTCAACAAATTTGTTATACTTTTCTAAAGTTAACTATAAGGTTGAAGTGGAACCAATTGAAAGCGATTATGAATACAGATTACATTTTAGTACTATTGTCCATTTCACACAGAGGGTGTAATCTGGACTTATTCCATTTTGAAGCAGACACTTCTGTAGGTTACACCGTCCAGTCAGTTGGTTCATCAATAAATTATTTCTTATTTCAGGTGTAAAGATAAACAATATCCCAAAAACTTGCCAGATACTAGTGTTATTATTGTCTTTCATAATGAGGCTTGGTCCACTCTGCTTCGCGGAGTACATAGTGTTATAGATAGATCACCACCATCTTTATTAAGAGAAATAATTTTAGTTGATGATTTCTCGGATATGGGTAAATATAACAATTATACGTTATAATCATTTTTTATAGGTCAACACTTAAATGCCGTATATTCCCTCCCCCTACGTCCGTGCATCGTGAGGTTATTTTTATGATTTATCACCGAAATTTATAATATTATTGTAGATCAAATGTCAAATTGATATGCATTGTTCAGATGAGTGAAATAATTTCCGTTACTTTCTACAAGAAAGAGTCAATACCCTTGCTCACTATTTTTCAGAACCTTGTGTACGTACCAGTGATAATTGTTATTATCAGATCTATCTGAAATAATACATATCCATTGTTCAGATAAGAGATACTGAAATCCATCAACTTCTTTAATTTATTGTAAACTTATTTAACGATGTTTTTTCTAATAACAAATCCTTTCAAATAAAAACGTATAATGGGTCGAACAGATAATCATTATGCTTTTAGGGGACATATCATCGAGAATAACGTGGACAGTGATTTTTTTCAGATCATTTGAAAAGACCACTAGAAAAGTATGTAGCTCAGTTACCTAAAGTTCGGTTAATCCGCGCATCTAAAAGGGAGGGCTTAACTCGTGCTAGAATCATTGGATTTGAAGCCGCTAAAGCACAGACTCTAACATTCCTTGACGCCCACTGTGAATGTTTTCCAGGTAAGGACGTGTTATTATGATTAATAAAATTAAACGTAATGTGTTTTACAAAGACGACAAAATACAGATTTAAAATGAAATAAAACTTTATGCCGAGAGAAGAATAGAATGTAACATTTTTGCCTATTTAGAAAAATACGGTCTTAGAACATTAAGGCATCGGAAAAGTTGGCTTAACTACAAACCGACATATCTACACATTGCGACAATCGGGGTTATTCCGCAGCATTTGAAGTGTTCTTTCGCCCAGGCTGCAGCTACTAGTTTCGAAACTTGTAGCCTAAGTAGAATAATATGTAAACTGGCGGAATAATTATCACTGAGCTTCATATATTTTCATGGGACAGGATCAACATATGTTATTAAGAGTCTTTCACACAGCTCCCCGCTAAAATATATCTCTTACCGCCTTTTAAAAGATGTTTGAAAATTACAAAAGAATAGATATTATTACTGTGAAACTGTTTTGGAAATAAAACGTAATGCTTACTTAAATTGAGTACAATAAACGAAAAGGGCAATCTGTCGAAACGGCTACAGTTCTCTAAGATGTATTGTGTAAGATGTAGATAAAGATCTAACAGTTCTCGCTATAATAATTAAACAATAGTTAATGAAAAAGGAATATGGTCAAAGTTTCATTCAAATTACTGCATTCTGAGCACAGTGTATCTAGATTGTCACTTCTATCGCTGTTATGATAATAAACTAAGTTTCGATTATCCATTTTTAAATTAATTCATTAACTGGGAATTGTATTTAAGTCGGTTGAAAATTAAAACCATCCCAGGTTCTAGAGAGTTGATTATGGGGCTGGCATGTAAATAAATGTCTAATTAATGATTTATATAACATTTGGGTCCAAACGAATAGATGCATTAGGCAGATTTAGCTGTTGAATAATGCATCTTCTAGTGGACAAAATTTAGAAATCATAAGGTATTCCTGACTAAAAGGCAAATATAAACTTTCCGACCACACACAATAATAGGCGGCAATGTCACACTGGCCTATATTATTCAATATTGATCAATCCTTGTGGAAATTATGGTCATCTAAAGTTCCTATTACTATATATTGATCTCATGCTGCCGTCTTGTTTTTCTCTGAAACATTTGTATCTACATCGAGCTGAAGATGACATTAACCGTCTTTTTGTTCGTTTTAATCTGTTATATTTTTGTGAAATATAAATAAAGAAAATGATTACCGATCATATGGCGACGTATTTATGTCCCCTTGTTTAATTATTAGAAGTAGTCTGTATTGAGATAAAACCACTTTTGATCTTAATGACACGGTGAAAGCAATAAAACTACCAACTTTTGCTTTAAAATATACTTTTATACAGGTTGGTTGGAGCCCCTTCTATCAGAAATTGCCTATAATAGATTTACAGTGCCAATACCGGTACTACAAGTCATTAGTGAATTTACATTTGCTTTGACCTGGCGGAAACAAAGATCTAGAATGATCGGCGGTTTTCAAATGGACACTTTGAATTTTGACTGGGCTTCTATTCCACAACGAGAGTTGGACCGCCGCAGATCAGACGCCGATCCAATAAGGTCTCATTATGTAGTCACTTAATGTGGAAGATCTTACCTGGGATTTCACCACCACCCCATCCCAGCCTATTTTATTTAATACCCGTGGCTATGGATATATCCCTTTACATCCTATATATTAACACCAGATATTTGTTGCCGTGTCTGTATTTTCATTATTATTTATTTAAAGAAACATTATGGGAGATTAGATAAAGAGCTGGTAGTTCTCACAATAATAGTTAAAAACAAGATACTGTAAAGGGACTTTGCTGAAAATTTAAGTCAAATTGATCCACCATGAACCGAGATTTTAGCGATTGAATTTTCGGTCTAGCCTCGACCATCATTACTAAAGTCCGTAGGATAAAAAAACATAGTCTCGGTTATCCATTTCACGATTTAATTATGAATGGAAGTCGAACAGCAAATCGGAACCTAACCCAATAAACATCACAGGCTAGCGATGCCATCGAGAGTTGATTATGGTCTGGATAAGTTAATTAATGTCTAATTAATAATTTAGATAACATTTCAGGCCTAAAGAAAGACCTGCAATAGGCATATTTAGCTACTGCATAATGTATGTTTAAGCAATATTCGTTTATATAAATAAAAACAAACAATAATTTTTGAACTAGGAAATTGTTGTATATATTTGGTAATCCTCCTTTTTGTTTTAATTTCTTCTTGATCAGGTGGCGATTGAGTGAACCGAGTCAATGACTAATAACAAACTGTGATAATACGAACTCTTAGAATTACTTAGTTGTCGTCAAATCACTGTCTGAAATGCCGTTCTAAATGTTTATAACACAGATCCCATTTTGTTTCGCATTTTATAGATCAAAATTTCGTTTTACTTGTCTTTGCTACACTAGGCTACTAGGATCTGGAAGAGTTGTTATATTACCGGAGTTCTGGTTGAGAGAGAGAGAGAGAGAGAGAGAGAGAGAGAGAGATGGGTTTAACGTCCACTCGACACAAACCAGGTCATTTCGGGATTAACACATGGTTCAATTTTTATTTCAATAATTCGCTTGCGCGTAGGGGTCTTTAGCAGTGGGAGGAAACCGGAGTACCCGGAGAAAACCCACGAGGTTGAACAGGCGACCCTACTCCTTGCCACGTACAACCGGGGAATCGAAACCACGCAAGTTGACTCAATGAAAGACTTTATGATACAGCGAGCACGTGCTAACCATTCATCCATCCAACCCCCCAGTTCTGGTTGAAGTGAGGGATTAGTCAATGATACGGAGATTTCTTGGCGTTTGATGCACGGAACTGTGGGTAAACCACTAGAAGCGTCAACACTGATGTCATAGGGTCAAAAGCCGCTCGTACGACCCCTGACACGACCTTCTAGTACAACCGGTTACATCTTCTACTTTGATTTTCGATATGATGTCATAATTCCAAGATAAATGCGATGATGCTATGCCCAGTACCTAGTTCATATAGCACCCTCTTCTTCTTTATCGTAGTACTCCGTTCTGTTTAGTTGTTAGGATCGTACAAGTAAACCATAGTTCTAAATTTCAAACCCGAACTATTTCTATAAACAACGACGAATGGAGCAGGGATGACATACATTTTTTAATTGCGCAGAACGGCTTTTACAACATTTACTATAGTTTTGTCAGGTTGGTTTCCGTAGCTACTGTGAAACACTACAATGTGCCAGAGTATGTTAATATGTCACAATCATTAAGTTAAATTATGCAGGGGTATAGACATTGCTACTTAGACAACATGACATTTTGGGACTTGTGGCAAACCGCTCATGGATCCTCGAAAAGGAATCACCGACCTTCAGATAGTTGCACAGGAGCAGGTTTTTCAACCTGAACTATACTGTTTCATTGATTCATATATATCCGGCATATCCCCTTAATAGCAAAAGATAAATATAATTGTCAGTAATGTGTTGAATTCCGATCAATCCGTACGTTTTAAATAATACCGCGTAGGTGGAGCAGGAGCGCGGCGACGAAGCGTGATTCACCCTGGGCCCAGGTCCAGTGAGGCCGAAATTCGAGGACCTAAAACATTCACGGGGCCATGCTGGTTAATTTGATACCACTAATGTGGGGTGTGGAGCGCTGCGACGAAGCGAGATGGGCGAACATACACACACACAAACACAAATACAATTCATATAGATATGATCCATTATCGGGGCTTGTTTAGCTTAAAAGCCACTTTTGCCTAAACTGCATCGCTTGTATTATTACGTAGACGGAATAAATTTCGTTCCAGTCAATCAGAATGTACATGAGGTTTGTACTTAACGAAGACCTCAATATCGATCAAAACGAATCCACCTACAAAAATAAAATAAAGAGTCAAAATTAAATCCGGAATTTATTACTGCATCTATGCAGGGCAGCAACTGAGGTGGATGTTCAAACACTGAGCTAGAATCACTATTATCTGTTTGTGTTTTTATTTTTAAACTCGAGGATTAAGATGCCTATAACAGGATTCAGCTTTTCTATATTTGAACACAATCCGTATGAAACTATCTCATCGTCGCCCTTTAACGTTCAAATTATAATACTGGCCAAATTTAAGTGTCTTAAATATCCATGTAGAGCGATAATCGTATCAATTGTAAAAACATCACCAAAACACTCTTATCTTAATACAGGTTGGTTGGAACCTCTTTTAGCAGCAATCGCAGAGAATCGATTCACGGTGCCAATACCTGTTATACAAGTCATCTGTTCTTATAGTTTTGCTTTATCAATGAGTAGTCAGCGATATCGAATGATCGGTGGTTTTCTAATTGACGAAATGATCTTTTATTGGATTACAATACCACAAAGAGAGAAAGAACGTCGTAAATCGCCTGCCGAACCTATAAGGTCTTGTTTTAGTTCCTGGGTGTCTGGTTCTTTTTTTTTCCAAATTATAAATTATAGCTGTATCCTAGTTGGTGTGGAGTTTTCACCCCTGTCCTTGCTAATGATTGCAGGTCTGGTTGCCTTTTAAAATACCTTTTTTGGAATCAGCTGATGAATGAGACGAACAAAAATGTTCAAATTTTAAAAATAAAGTTTATGAATGATTATGTTTACATTCCCTGTAATACAAATAAAATGGTCAAATGTCAAATATGGAAACGAGAAACGGAATCGAAATAATGCTTGATTCCTAAACCCCAAACTTCTTATTAATGAACAGTTATCCATGTAATACATACGACCTTTTTTGTTTAGGTTGGTTAGAACCTCTTTTAGCAGAAATTTCAAAGAGTCGATTTATTGTGCCTTTACCTGTCATACAAGTAATAGTTGCAAGAAACTTCGAACTCAATATTCGTTCTAGAAGGTCGCGGATGGTCGGTGGTCTAGCGATGCAAGATTTGAACTTTTACTGGAAGATTCAACCAAGGTTGGAAAGAAAACGTCGTAAATCCGATACAGACCCCATCAGGTTAATCCATTATCTGCATTGTCATCTAGAACGAATAAATAGTTTTGGATCCTGACTTTCTGTTTATAGATGTGTGTCTGGGTCCGTATTCAAAGGATATCTTAAGTCTAAGATAGTCAGTTAACTACTAGATATCACTTAAATATACGTAACTTCCTGTAAGTTATGGGTAAGTGGTATTCAAAGGCAGTGTTACAGTATCGAATTTTCCCTTAAGTGACAGTCAATTTTTTTATGAATTGTCAGATATCCTTTCACAGTCTCACACAACAACTTTTGGTCTTCGAAGGAATTATTAGTGGGCAGAAATTCGCCCATGTACCTGTTATCACCCGTCACTTCAATCAGTTATATAGGGCGATAACTCGTGTTTTCCTTTTGCGTTCGTTGAAACATTGATTCCACATCTATCGTAGCAATGATCTCCGTGATAAAATAATATTTGGAACGTGTTTAACCAGTTCTATTACATATATGATAATGCCTGGTACCAATATTGTCCTTTAATAGAGTATAGTGCAGTGCTCTTAAGGGGACATAACTTGCGTGCGACGTGAGTAATTGGTGATATTTGGCAGTGGAGGTTATTCCATAAGTTAGAAAATCATGCTTTTTGGCTAATGTTGGTATTCCATATTTTAAGTGTACAGTTAAGTTTTTCACATAGCCAAGTATATGTAAAATAGAGCCTTTGAATACCGATTTAAGGTAAGACACTTGGTTAAGTGGAAAAAAATGAGTATTTTTACTTAACTTTAAGAAAACCTTTGAATACGGACCCAGTTCTTTTTTATTGGCCTTAAATTGAATTTAAAATGTTACGGGCGTTAACAGAAAAGGGTTTGAGCATATTACTTTCAGAATTAATTAATTAAATTAAAAAAATAGCATAAATTAAGTGGGTAAAATAGGGTAATAAAATTTTTGTAGTAACTTCCGGATATTGCTTTTTCATAAAACCGTCATATTTGCTTTACTTGTGAACCCATAGAAATATGATTTACTACGTAAATATCCCTTTTGTTTCTGTTTTTCTATTTATTGTTTGTCAGCTAATTGGCCTACGTTGTCTTTTCTGAACCCTCATATCAGATATTCATATTTTAGGTTGGTTAGAACCACTTCTAAATCGAATAACAGAAAATAGCTATAACGTTCCTTTCCCTGTAATAAATATCATTGAGGAAGGCACCTTCAAAGCAAGAGTAGCTAAGAAAGTTAGCCGAGGCGTTTTTACTATACATGATCTCATCTTCCACTGGAAAGGTTTAACCCCAGAACAAGAAGCCAAGAGACAATCGAAGGCTGAACCGATCAAGTAGTACTAATTTTTAGATGTGAACAAACTGATTAATGGTTTTTAGAATTAGATCATGGGATTTTCAGTGGACATCCTATACGGCTAAATAAATAAAATGAAACATTAAATAGACTTTTAGTCCACAAAATTTGCAATTGAAAATAAAACAGTAATGGAAATATTATTAGAAAAGTTGGTCGTTTAAGCTCCAGATCGTTCTTGGAAAATATATGCAGAAATGAAGGGTTTTTTTTAGTTTTAGACACACCTATTTAAAAAGAAGGGACCGCACATAATATTGATATAAAATCATCGCTGTTATTTTTGATATGCAAACTTGAAAATCTTTATCTATATTCTATTGATTATTGATCAGTTTGTCGGTCCCGGGGTCTTCAGTTTTATGCCTAATGCTGCTCATTAGTATCCTTTCTTGCATGCTTTTATTCTAAATCCATATAATTGTAGTAACCCTTTATTTTACCTTCCCTCGACTGAAAAGAATGGTTGTTGAAATATTGTGACACCGAAACCTCAATATAAAGCAGTGAACAGTCCAAAATAAACAACGGGTTCACTTCTATACGGACACGAATTTACTAGTAATGTCTCAACGGCTCTATGCATTGGATACGACTGCGTACTTCTATATCTTCATCTATATTTTAGGCTGGCTTGAACCCCTTATGGACAGAATTCTGCGGGATAGGACAACTGCGGTTTTTCCAATTATAGAAATGATTAAAGCAAGCACATTTGCTTGCGTTGCGGGTACTACGAGTTCTATTGGTACGTTCAGTTTGAACGACCTGATATTTTCCTGGTCAGCAATTCCAGCACGAGAGAAACGGCGCCGTAAATCTGAAACGGATCCCATTAGGTTTGCATATTTAACAGTAGCTAGTTTGGTGGCTTTGGTACTTTAAGGTATATTTTTCACATGGAATTTCTCGCCTATTGGTTTTATTGTATAGACAATCCTTTATTATTATATGGTTAAATAAAATACCCAGATATTCTAAATGGACCTGTTCACTGAATTTTCTTAAATTCTGTGGTTCTGACGAATTTATTTATTCTTTTTTGTTATGCTACTACCGTTCAAAAATTAAAATAATGCTGTTTCAAAACGAATCTACTATAATTCACTGACATGTTGCAAATTATAAGGCTATAATATTATTTCTATTTTGCGTTAATTATAAAACCACATATTAATTTTTAATGTGAACATTTCAGTGAATTAGAGTGATAATTTTGTTCTAGCAATTTTTGATATTATGTTTGCTTTAATTGTTCATTATTCACGTGGTATTAAATCAAGAGTTGATTTCATTCAGCGCATTAGTCTCAGGGTAACCACTCTCAAAATTAAATCGGTGGGAACATTTAACATCAACAATTTTATGGGTATTCGACACCGACATAATAATATAGATCTATCTTCCAACCTAAACCCATCCCTTATCCTCTCACACATCAAATATTTGATATTCCACAGAAAATAAATATACCGTTCACTTTCAAATGAATCCCAAAATATCGCTCTCTCCACCCCCACCCCACCCCTGGGGTCGGTACTGTATTACACCCATTGTGTTTATTTCATCGTTCTTTTAGCTTAATAAAATACAGATCGAAGTATCGTTTTAATGCCCAAGATGATATCTCATGTACAGTAAAATTTAATCTTTGGAATAGAATAAGATCTATGTTTTATTCAAAGATTAATAATCATTTGCATTAGATTTATCATTTTCGAATCTGTCCTCCCTTTTACGTTCTGGTTTGGGGTTTTATTTTAATTTATGAAGGAATTATACATTTATTTGTACACAAACTGTAAATTATACTATTTAAAACAATTTTAAAATGGTCATTTGTTTTTTAAATTTATAATCAAACAAATCATTTATATAGAAAAAAACCGACAAAAACACAATATTTATTTGAATAAAATATAATAGAAAGATGTATGAGCTACAGTCTTAATTAATCTCCGTGTACGGAATTATATTAATCGTTTTACACTGTTTGTCTTCTATCATCTGTGTTTAGGTCCCCAACTATGCCCGGTGGCTTGTTTAGTATAGATAAGGCATATTTTAGAAAGATTGGTGCATATGATCCCGGTTTAGATTATTGGGGTGGCGAGAATATGGAACTATCTTTTAAGGTAAGTCATAGGTTAGATTTTCAATACAGAAGACGTTTGATTTCGCCTATAATTTTAATAAAGAACAGAAACTGTGCTGTAGAGGAGACAACCATATTCATGTGGACGTATTATGTCATCGCCCCTGTCGGTTCACATTTTGTTTGAGGACACTTTACAGGTCACAATTTTTATTCGATTTTGATGAAACTTGAAATATAGGTTTATATAGAACTCAGTTCCTGTCGACATTGGCACGTATCTGGCCATAATTTGGGGGATTAATGCCCCCGATTTTCAGTCTGTGAATACCCTAGAGGTCACAATTGGTACCCGGTGTTGATGACACCTAAAATGTAAGTTTATATATAACCAAACGATCTCGGTTCCTTTCGATATTGGTGCATATTGGACCGTAACTTCCTGAATTGTGCCCCTGGTTGTACAAAAACTCACGCTCAAATATAAAAATCGGACCGAAACTCCCCGATAAAAAAGCGGCTCTCCTTTACGCAAATTGTTTTACAACATGCATTACCAAGGTTGTGGAATCTCTAGATGTCACAATTTGTGTCCGATTTAGATGAAACTTAAACTGTATCAAATTTTCTTAGAGGAGTTCAATGTTGTCTGATTCAGATGAAACTAAACAAATATGTTAAGGATCAAAAGATCTTAAATAGGTTAAATTTTGATGGGCATCAAAACTCAACATCTTGTTTTTAATACAGCCGCGTTTGTTTAATTCACATTGAATTATTTAGGAAATACACCTGTAATACAGAACAAACAAATTTATATCGGTGTTTATAATGATCACTGTTAAAAAAAACTGTATCTTACAACGCGAGGGTTATATCATGTATATCGACTGAGGACTATTAAGATGTATAATCAACAAATAAAACAATTTATGCAATAGCCTTGACCAATAAAGACACTATTTTTAAAAGTGCGCCTTTGTTATAAATAAGCGAAATGCCAATCTGATTAAAACACAGATCCTATTTCGTTTTGTTTTTATAATTCAAAATTTCGTTTTACTCGTCTTTACTACACTAGGATCTGGAAGAGTTGTTATCATTGACGTGTTCTGGATGATGTGAGGGATTAGCCAATGAAACGGTCGGTTACGGCGAGTTCTTGGCCTTTTTACGCACGGAACTGTGGGTAAACCACATTGATTGATTAATCAATGTCCGGCGTGAGTGGCGTCATAGGGTCAAAGGCCGCTCGTAGACCCCTGACGTGACCTTCCAGTACAACCTATCAGATCTTCATGTAGTGTAGGCCATCGAAAGTATAAACAACGAAAGGAAATATTGATCTGTATTTTAATTAGATAATTGACGAAAAGCGGTTGAGCCATGTCTTATTACACTGTCTGTGAATTGTTCTAATACCCGCATGTCCGGCCTCGACCAATCGCAATTAATAAAATAGACTCAACCTATTCGTCGTTACGAATTCCCACAGCTTATCTCCAAAACAAAAGTATCTGTAAGATTATTAAATTTTGATTCATGTGTCAATTTTACAGGTGTGGATGTGTAACGGAACAATTGAAGTAGTCACTTGTTCAAATGTGGGTCACGTATTTCGTAGTAGAAATCCGATTCGATGGATCAGTACCAAAACAAATGTCGGCAAAAGGAATTCTGTGAGGGTAGCTGAAGTGTGGATGGACGAGTATAAAAAATATTTTTACGAGAGAATCAACAATGACGTGGTAAAATGTTACTCTTTTTCTATCGGTCACGGGAAAAGTTAGGCAAAGGCAATTTTGTTTCAATCGGTATTCCTCGATAAATTCCGATAATTTCAGTCATTTATGAATTTATACCCGAATATCGTGCCGACTGAAGGGTCATTCCATAACTTCGGAGATATTATTAGGACTGAATAGAAGGAAAGCGGGGTATGACTACTAAACCACTAATTTTCCAATAATTCACGACAATACACCAATAAATATGTACATTTTGATTAGTCAAGAAATTCATGTGATCTGAACGGTGAGCTCAAATTAGACATGTCAGATGTGAATTGAGTACAACATAAAAATGCTTTATATAACAGTAGCAATAATCTAACTTATGACACAATTGATATTGGTTTAGTAATACACACTGACCTCTTTTTTCAACAGGGTGATTATGGTGATGTTTCCGACAGGAAAAAACTACGAAAAGATCTCAACTGTAAATCATTTGATTGGTATGTTAAAAATGTCTACCCAGAACTCAATGTGCCAAGGGATGCTGTAAAAACAGGGGAGGTAAATCTGATAAATATTTTTTAATGGTCTGATTTCGTCCAAGCCAAGCACAAATGAAGCCTACAAGAAAGTTGCATATAGATGGCGCATAACATATCAAGGACCGACATAAAAGTCGGTACTTAACCGACCGTCTTTAAATAGTGCAGACCCCTGAAAGCATTAAAGGCAGGGGGCATACATATTCCTGATTAAAATAGTGTCGCTGTCCGGGCAAAATTGTCCCCATAGCACACTGTATGACGTATTAGCTCAGTCGGTGCAGAAAAAAATAGAACGATAAACCCCATTTCGTCTCCTTATTTAAGTCCAACCACATAAGGTTTGAAAAAAGTAAGTTTAGATAGTTAGTTAGAGGTTAGAAATGCGCCATTGATTATCTTTCAACTGGCCAGTATAAGTGCAAAAATAATAGCTGCGAAAAATCTATAGAAAGTGATATTAACTTTAGATGACCATAACTTACGTTAGGGTTGACTGATCTTAATATTTTTGGTGGAAGTATGGTCTGAAAGTCAATAGATTACCTTTGATTCTAGAATATTGGTTCTTTAATAAGACAAGAGGGTTTCGCAGGGTTAATTATGGTCAAAAGATTACCTTTTATTCTAGCATATTCGTAATCTTTCTCTATAGAAAATCGGTATTAGATCTTATGTAATAGTATTCAATAAATCTGAAACAAATATATGTAGGTCTTCTGTGCGGAGTTTCAATTTTTAAATCATTGTATTAAAATCAACAGTTACTGAGCTAAAATAAAAGCGACAGTTATTGAGCTAAAATAATAGCGACAGTTGTTGGGTTTTAATTAGAATGGATACAACCTTTTTGCTTGGTGACAGTTTTCAAAAATCGACAGTTTACGTCAAAAAGGAAACCGAAAATTATCATTTGCACTAGTCCTAAGCGAAATAATATATTAGAGCTAGCCAATTCATTACTTATATCCAACATTTCGTGGTGGGAAAAGGAGTGGGTCGTTCATACTATATAGTTTAAATTATTATAATTTAGCTTGTGAATGAAGGAATTCCCAGATGTGTTGATTCTATGGGAGACAAAAGACAAGCAGCTTTATACCCCTGTCATCACCAAGGAAATAACCAGGTAAGTTAGAGGGGTATCGACAATTGCCAATCTCATTAAAATACAGATCTATATTTCGTTTCGTTTTTTATGCTTTCGATGGCCTACACTAGATGAAGATCTGACCAGTTGTACTGGAAGGTCGCGTTAGGGTCTACGACCGGCTTTTGACCTTATGACGTCAGACATTGATTAATCAACCAGCGTTGACGTTTCTAGTGGTTTACCCACAGTTCCGTAACAGATGGTTTCATTGGCTAATTCCTCACGCCATCCAGGACGCCTGTTATATAATAATTCTTCCAGTGCCCGATTCCTAGAAAATTCTTAAGCACGTTCTTTTGCTTAGATTTTAAGTAGACATTGCATTTAAGTAAACTTTTCTTATCTTGCGTTCCCAGAAAATTCTTAAGAACGTTCTTGTGCTTAGATTTTGACTTCAGTGTAAGCACAAGCACGTTATTATGTGTTCCAAGAAAAAACTTAAGCACAACTTCGTTCTTAAACATTGTCAATCCAAACACAAGTCCCAAGCAAGATATTCGGCTTGCTTACCAACCTTTTTTTTTAGCTTGTGGCACATTTTATATGTGTATAGGGGACATGTCTAATTCATCTAAATCGACCATTTGCCGGGAAGCAGCCGACCAATTTATGACGTAATTTGCATACCAAAATTGTTTTTTTGACGCATGACTTTGTGCTTACTTTAAGAATTTTCTAGGAACCGGGCCCCGATCTCAGACAAATAAAACGATATTTTGAACTATAATAAACGAAACGAAATAGGACCTGTGTTTTAATTAGATTGGACATTTGCGAATAGATAACTGATTTGTCTAAAAGTGAACAACGAGTATAATTGTAAGCATCTTACAAATATAATTGAAATTTATATCATTCTATAAGGGATCCAGATTCTGATACCTTTACGATACCTGAAAATAACAATAGGCATATTGTACACGCAACACATAATTTTATAGAAAATTGGCAATCCTTTGATGAGATTTGACGTGTAAATACTGAAAATTAATTGTGCAGTACGGTGTTTGAATAGACTAAAGTCACCAAAAATAAAATCTGTTATGTAAAGACAGATTATTAAAGTGTTGGGTATTCTGCCTAACCCCGTGGACTTCTTTGATTTCCTTCTTCCTGTGCGCAGCCAATCTGGTTCTACTTACTATTACATAAAAATGAAAAGAGGTAAACGAAACGGACTATTAAGTTAGAATGGTTTATAAGTGAATTATTGTAATAGATATTCACCATGTGACCCAGAAATGACCACGTTGTCCTTTACTACCATTGCTGCGACGGGATCTTGAATGACGCAAAAATATATTTAGTCCCACGTGACTGACACTTACCACGGCCATTGGAAAGTCAGAAAGATAAGGCTTTCTTGATTTTTCCTTTTCTTTCAGATAACCAATATTTCTGATGGAGAGCTTAATCATTGATACAATAAAACATTATCTATCTCATTTTCTTGGTATCTCTGAATGTCTCGCCATCATGCAATTTGGACATAACTGCAAGGGTACAAACCGTAAACCGATTAATGTATAATATTTTAAGTGGTTCGTGGAGTCTGAAAATTCGTAAAAAGCCTGTGAAAACGGGCCTTACCAGAGCAATACATGTATAGGAATATATGACGTTTGTATTACGATTTTGTATTCTTGTAGTTTTGGCAGTTAACAGAACGTGGTCAGATAAGACAAAAAGAGCGTGTATATCTGTGTAGTGATAATAAACAAGGTGTGAGAATATCAGCAAGATGTACAGGAAATCCAGAATGGGTGTATCAAGATGTAAGAAATGTTTGATTTATTTGATACCTTTTAAGATATGGAGATTACCATTATATTAAATTTCTTGATTTAGTACGGGATTGAAAGAGAATGAGGTGGAGTGGGTAAAGGTAAACTGTATATCAGGAAGCCTCATGTCTGCTATAGGTTTGTATTCTACCTGGGAAGGCTGACGAAATCTATACGTAAATAGAATCCTGCTGCAGCAGAATGTAGTATGAATATTTGTATTAATGCTACACTCATTAATTTGTATTTTTCAGAATCTGACACTTATGAATCCTGCTAGTGGATTATGTCTTCGGGCCAAGATTGGGGGGAACCCTGATCTTTTACTGACTAAATGTGAAGAGAACAAGTGGCAGAGATGGCGATTTTTATTGAAAGAATTACCCTCTTGAATAAAATGCATTTTTTTTACATCCACTGTGTCCTTATTTTGCCATTTTATCACCTACCATATTTTAGGCAGGCCACGATTTACGACCACCATATCTATTTATGGAATTAGATTAGTAATTCTCTTCCTCATTGACCTCAGAGTTAAAATCATGACAGTTCTGATGATCTTGATCTTTATAACCACAGAAAGACAGCGTGTCCCAACCAACACACTAATAGATAGGCAGTGGCGTCATTTTAATAGGTGACCACCCTAATTCATGTCTGTTAAGTTCCTATTCCTTACGCTTCAAAATCATAAGTATTCAGCAAAACCTGGCAGAAAATGGAATTCCAAACATTCTTCTTGTCTGCGATATCACCTCGTTGGAAGCAGACGTAAAATACAACTGACTCTCGCACACACTCTTCTTGAATCTTCGATCCTAGGTACGCAAAAGTCAACACAAATTGCCACGCAAAAGTGGGGAAGAGGGAGAAAGGGAGCAATATAGAGGCACTACTGGTCTTAGTAACAGTCTTTCTCCCTTACTCCGTTTAGTCTGACCTCTCGTCCAGTCACCGCGCATTTTTGTACGATCCAAGACTCCATGGACACGATGCAGCGAAGCCGGAAAGGGGAAACTCGGGGCTAGGCACAGCTCATGGCGGTCGGATGTGCGGAGATTCATTTATCGGCTCCCCGGCAGACCCGAAATTTCCCACTGTACACTTTCATTGCGGGGCAGACTGGCTCGACTAAATTGAATTTCTGTACGGTTCAGGTGTATTGGTAGTTTATAAGCTCAATAAGTATGAGCTTTGTTTGAAATGATTACCAACGGACCGATAGACTGTGAAAGGGGTGATGACAATAGAGCGACTACAATTTATCGGTGGCTAGAGCAATAACTCTACGACTAATAGATACCTGATATATCTAAGAAAATGAAATTTAATGAAAGTTTTAAGGAAAGTTTGCGAACGTTTAATCTTGTCGAATGGTTTTATAAATATTTCATCCGGTGTTAGCTATTGTTCCACACCACCACGCCAGTATTACGCCGCCGCTTTATCAAAATATCAATCATCCATAATTTTGCTATATTAATATGCTTAAATTAATAACATTAAAGTAACGATACGCCATTTGCATTTTCCGCTAAAATATCAAATTTCTAATATGCATTATGACTGTTTATGTAACACTTAATTAAAGATGCATGTCGCGGAATTTGAATAGGACTCAAACGCATATGACCCCAATGGTTAACACCCGGCTTGGAAAGAAAAATGTCTTAAAAACAATGGCTTCTATCGGGTTCACAAGGGTTTCGGAGTGGAGATTATGTGGGGATGGGGGCTCTGGGCCGAAAGGTTGCGGACCGATAAGGTTCGTTCTCTCATGACCCCAATGCTTCACATCAATTTCTGCAAAACAAATCTGATTTAAAGTGTGTCTGGGCAATAGGTGTGTTTTTCCCTAGATAATATTGCATGTAAACTTAAATATTTGCAATACGTGTGAATCATTTTTTAAAATATACATCGATAAATGAAGAAAATGTCATATTAGGTTGCTAATCACTCCACTCTAACAAAATAACATAAAACATAATGTTCACACATTTAGGAATATTTCCATGTTTCCAACATTTCAAACCTCGGCATTTAACTTCACATGGAATCTGATCGATGAACAGGGCTGGGATGCACATGATACAATCTGCATAATATAGTCCTTTACGACATGATTGTGGACGTGCTACCCCAGGAAGTGGAGTTGGACTGGATAATCATCTAGTAATAATGTCGACCTTGGACTGGTATACTAAAAAAAAGTATACGAAGGTATAGATTTTTAATAACTACGTTTACAAGCAATTTATAAACTGACTGTACAAAATCTATTATTTACTGATAAAGATTATTAGGTTGTAACAGATAGCATTTATGTTTGTGGACGGTTTTCATTAAAGTATTTCTGTTACTTGTAACAAAAGGCGACAGACATCCGAGACTGGTACATTTGTATGACGACGTAAAATATGCTGGGTTTTTGGGCTACGAATTTTACTCAGTCCATTGCCACTAGGTGTAAAATATCCAGAAACAAATCATTTAATGAGGCGATATCTTCTGTTGTTGTTGTGTATTACAAATTTAACGCCCAATAAATTATATACATAACAAGTGGTTTAATAAAGATTATTTACATATGAGGGAGTTATAAACTAAAATGGGTAAAAACATAAAAAAAACTTTTAAACACGGTGTTAAAATTCTATGTCGTAAAGTGTATACATCTTCAAGAAGAGCCATCTACTAAAATGATTGTGATATAATAGTGCTGATAGGTGCTAGTTAATCTTCTTTATTCTGAAAAAAAATATATAAAATATGAAAATAATTACACTAAACGTGAAGTAAATAAAAACCGATACAAACACCTTATGTTTGTTTGTTTGTTTGTTTTGTTTTTTTGTGGGGTTTTTTTTTTTTGGGGGGGGGGGTCGTATTTTCAATTATAGACAGCTGATTCTGCCTTACTTTATCTTGCTTCACTGTTTAGGGATCAAACATGAGCGAGTGTACAACAAACTATGGTGTATGGGACCCAGGTTATCTGAATCGGTTCTAGCAATCGAAACTTCGAGTACCCCGACAAATTCGAATGTAGACTGGGGAGTGACCGTAGAGGCTAATTAAATATAGACTTTTATGGGCTGACACTGTATATACATCTTGACATGGGTGCCAAGCCAGCACTTCTTTTGCTATTAATGGTGCTTGTGCGGCGACTTAACTGAACCCCTTCCCCCACTTATCTCGATCATTTTGATAAATTATGTCTTAAACTCTCCAAAATGGCATAATCTGACCGTGATGCGGCAAACCTGATCATCGGGGCTTATGATGTTTTAATGACAATGAGTAATTAAAATGAAAATACACTGGATATAATTCTATAAAATACAATTACTGTTTATTGGTAATTACTTTGAAGGGAAACTAAATTAATTAATCGGTGATAATCAATAATTGTATTCAATAGAATAATTGCATTCTATATGTTTCCGGTTTCATTGTTAAAAACATTTTATCTGACATCCGTAAGGAAATGTGAGGCTTACACTAATTGATCAAATGCGCACAACTGAGGTTAAATATAAACTTATAGGTAGTAATCTCATATTCTTAATGGGATACAGAGATGTCGTGGTATCAAAGTCCTGCTCATCAAATATCACCTTCCTAACAGTTTTTTTATTAATTAAATTCGATCACCTTCAAGATAATTAATGTCATGTCAAGCCCATAACGACTTGATCTGTGGAGTGCCTTATCCAGGAGGGGCGCCCATAATGACATGATTGGTGGGGCACCTTATAATGACAATATATGATTGTCGGACCGCACATAATGCATAATGCCGAGTAAGATTGGTTGGGCGCCCACGACTTGATCAATGGGGCGCCCAAAACGGCATGATTGGTGGGGCGCCTCTTCCCGGAGGGGCGCCCATATTCCCGAGATTGGTGGACCGCCCACGACGAGATCATGGGCGCCCATAATATAATTGTCGCGGCGCCCATAATGCCGAGTGAAATTGGTTAGGCGCCCATGAATGAATTGGACGCCTAATACGATGTGATAATCTTCAAAATTGAAAGAAATCGCACTTGAACCCGATTCCGAACTTTTCGTTTTTCTCATAAATTATTATAGGTACGTTAAAGTCGTATTCCTACCTTCAATTTTTATAATGTTCATATCGAAAGTCATAATACGCCAATATCGCAAATTCAATCTCAAAATTGAATTTTCCGTCAGTTTCAGGTGCAAACCCTATTTTCATAGTTCAGCTCCTCAGGTGCAAACCCTATTTTCCCAAATTTTCTGGGAGGCGTGTCCACGGTACCGATCGCCGTGGACCGTCAAGTGTAGGTACATGGTCGCCCCCAGAAGCCTTTACACCCCCCCCCTCTCCCCAGCCAACAATTTTGAGCTAGCTACGGGCCATGGTGCACATGAATGACTACGAGGTAACTTACCCTTAGATTTCACTCACCCTCGGTTCTTTGCCTGGAACAGAACATACGTATTTGTAATTTACTTCAGTACCAATAGTCTAATATTAGTCTTCGAATAGAAGATAGTTTTTTTATGTTGAATATCATCATTATGTTAATGAATACACGTCCAAAGTAAAATTGTTGAAGACGATAACGCAAAAACGCAATGATCTTTGTGCTTTAATTGAGAGAGCTTATCTTGGAAGTCGCCATTTTGTTAATCAAGTGTCGGCTTTAACTGTTTTGTTTGGTGTTTTTCTCGGATATTATCGTAGAAATATCTCTTAAAGTTTCACGAACGATCGAGGCAATGAGACACGGGTTGCTATATACCCACTAGATATTGTATACGACAGAATTGTCGAAATATTAAATATATTCTTTTATAGTTCTCAAACTCCCAGACCTGGTTTCATAGGTATAAAAATATATGTGTGGGATATATAAGCCACGAGTTTATAGTACATATCATATAATTTTAAATTCATCTGGTATTAACATTAATAGTGTACCAATAACTCCCGACCCCTGTGAGGATGAAAAGCCGATTTAACTTAAGTTGTACAGAATATCATATCTGCCACAAATTTCCTCTAATGCAATAAATATACCAGATATATAAAATCCCTACTTACATGTTACGGTGTCATAAGGATGTTCTTCCTCTGAACCATTGGTTGGAGATTCTATAACACTGATTTCACGAGCAGTATTCCCATCCTGCCTGTTGTCGTACAGGACGGCATACGGATTTTCACTCGACTGTCCTGCTATTGTACTGACTTCTATACCAGCAAAAGGCCTAGCATCTGAAAAGGAATATCTAAATTATGTGGCCTATGGGCTGTCATAAAAACATTCCATTCCGTACTTTCATAATAAACCCCAATTAGTTACTTTTCAATTGCATTCGTAGTTTTCATATAGAACCTACTTTAAAATAACAGAGTGTTGGTTTATCATACTGCTTTACTGGGTTTGGAAAGATTGTAGAAAATACTCTGCTAGAGTGAGTTTCAACACCATGGTTGTCTATCATCAGTATAAATCTCTGGTTTGATATTATTTATTTACATTTATTTCATTTTTCACATAACATTATTAAATTTACTTGAGTATAGTGTGTTGTATAATATGTTAGCATACCACGTTACTTGCAAACATACCATGGTCGCTTTTTCCCATAAATATTAAAGGTACCTGTATACGATAAGAAGGCAATTGGCCTTTAACCCTTCATGTACTCAATCAGAGAGTTATTTCAATTTCAATTACTCCAAATGTGCAAATAAATTAAACCACATTGAATTGATTGAATTGAAATGTTTTTGATTTTCCAGCGTGAAAACTATTTAGATTTTCGATTCTGAAATATTTTTTTCGCAATTATTACTATTATTCTTTTGTAATTCTTTAGTATTATATTTTTTTTTTGTAATTATTACTGTTATTCTTTTGTGATTCTTAGTATTACTGTTTGGTAATTCTTAGTATTATTTTATTGAATTCTTAGTATTATTTGATTGAATTATTAATATATTTTTTTGCAAAATAAGTTCACAAGGTTCAATAACTCAGTCAAACTGACGACCACGATATCCAATGGTCCGAAAGTGTCAAGTAAATTTACCAAAATAACACAGATAGTACATGTATGGAAATCTACACTAAGACAATATTATATGGGACAACAATCATTGGTTTATTATACACAGGCACGACGTTTAGATAAGTATCCTCTCAAAATTACATACCTGGAGCGTTATGAAATCTGTAAAACACAAACATAATATTGGTTAAATTCGCCCATTTCTCTAAAATTTTGTCAAAATACACAAAACATGTTTTGTTTTTTTTAATCAACCGGAAGCTCAAGGGACGATGAGCGGTACGTATGTTTGTTTTTGTGAAAGGCAGGACCAATAACAAGTGTCTCACGTATAGAAACAAACAGTTGAACATTAATCGTCAGAGTAGAAGCCATAGCCAACAGGACGTGTGATACAAACAGGAATCATCCAGGAGAAGGAATGACCAGAGAGAAAGGGATTATAAACAGAACCAGAATAAATATCAACACAGGGCTAAGAACAGGGAGGAAACCACCAGTTGGACAGATGCTAGAACAGAACAGAAAGTTACCAACAGGACTGGAGCTATAACAGGACATAAAGTATCAGTTCTTTAACAAATTTCTGCCTTCTTCGAAAAGCTGACCAACAAATATGTGCTAATAAGACGGAATGATGCAACATTTTCTGTTCAAGTAAAGGGCATTTTGGGTTAGTCTAATTTTGTCTTCACGGCCCCTCTATTAATACTATAAAGATAATGTAGTATTACTTACCTGTTTAATTCTCGATTCTGACCTGTTAACGAAATTCAACAGATTGTTTAGAAATACAGGAAATATACTTATAACTTTTATCGCCATATCTTTATGTACATAAATAATCTTTTTCTTTCTCTATAAAAACACCTAAAGCTATAACATAGGATACATGTTTTACATCCCACCCGCCCACCCACTCCCCACCCCCGCGGTTTAAATCTTACTATTGTATTGGATACATGGTTGTTTTTTTTCCAGGTAAGTTAATGAAAAAATGTCGTGTTGTAACAATTTACCTCTAACATGACGTTTTCTGTAACATACTGCTGCAATTACTACAACCACGATAATCACAATGATGGCAGCTGATATTCCAACACCCAATCCAACGGTTTTCATGTTGGTCGTATTAATCTTGGGTTGGCCACGTACTCCTTGTTCACCATGCCCTAAAGAAGCTAAAAAGGACAACAGAATTGGGCTACTAGAATAGAGGAACGGCATAATCGTGACAATAAAATTAATCTCAAACCGTTTCATCCTCCACTATGCCAACAACGGGCTCCCATCATGTATTAGTGGTGCCTTGTCTGATCCCATAAATGTGTACCACATGGCTCACTTCTCGGACCCATTTTAATTCTTTTGTATTAATTTGAATACCTGTTTTCTTTCTGGGTTACAAGCAGTGAACAGCCTGATTGTCTGAGTTATCAACAATTGCAGCATAACATTTGACCGACCAAAACATATTCTACTCACATAATATATTGACGGTGGTGATATGTGTGTACATTTTTGTTATAGGTTCACCCTCCGTTGGTACTAATACTATAACAGCTTCACATCTATAGTCTCCGCCGTCAGTTTTCTTAATGTTTGATATCAGTAGATCTCTCGTATATAATTTAACAGTTCCACCAGGAGAATACCACTTGTAACTAGATGGCTGTGGATTAGAGTCGACTGAACAATTCAACATCACGTTTGAGTTCACAGTAACATTTACAATTTCATGTAAGGATTCATCTTTTGGTGCATCTAAAAAATATCAGTGAAAACAATAAAAGACTGATAGTAAAATTACTATTACAATATATTTGTACAAATTTGCAAATAATGGGTTCATAGCAAGTTTATAAGTTACACAATGTGCATCTTAGCATACATAATGCGATTCCATAATTAATATAAAGATCTTGTACCATCAATCCCAATGAAAAATCATCACACTAAAAGATAAATTACAGTTATAAAGAAATGTTAGAGATAACTGGACCCATTTTGCATTATGTGCTATATACAATGGACAACCTGATTATCTGTAATATCAACATTTGTAGCACATCTTTTTGTCCCCAAATTAAATACTGCATTATACAATTATTAATACAATAATAAATACAAATAATATATTAATGGTAAATGTTGAATTCTAATATTTTCTTATAACTTACATAAAACATTAACATGAAAGATTTTACTATGCATTTTTGTAATTGGGTCTCCATTTGTTGGTACAAGCTTTGTCATAGTTTCACACTTATAGTCACCACCTTGGTTTTTACTGATATTTGATAAATCCAGATATCTCGTGACAGCTGCGTAACTTCCATCGGGGTTATACCATTGGTAATTTGAAGGTTCTGGATTCGAGTCGACAGAACATGTTAACTTTAGGTCAGATTGCATGGTAACATTAATTGTTTCTTGTGAGGTTTCAGTACTTGGTCCATCTGGAAATTTGAAAAAATAAGTAGCAAAACTAATGTTAATACATCATTACCATGGTACCTACACGGGACGGGAAATATGTTCCCGACAACTAACCCTGTGGTAAAGTCCGTCTGTCAATGATTTATCTATCAAATATCGAGGACAATATAACACTGTTACTAAAATAACATGCAAATATCCCGATATACGAAAACGTAACCCAGCGATAACCCATATTCCTGAAGCAATGGCCCGACAAATCCCTCTTTGGCCATTGCTGGATTGGCTTCCTATACTTGAGCTTTTGAGGGAGTGTGTCTGTTCCTCCTGTTCAATCAAATCTATCCCAAGTACAGCAACATGACAGCCCTTCGTTTAATCCCTAAAACTTTGGACAGTGATTTAAGGTATTAAAGACGGTGATAGTATTGTTCGTCTCCAAACAGTATTGTTTACATTGTATCTGTGTTGATAGCCTCGTTTGTCACGCAATTAATTTTTCTGCAATATTCTGCTACGCACTGGTTAATTGGGCATAATAAAATCGTCATGTAATCATATTTGTCCAATTTGGATCTCTGTTTAAAGCGTAATCATATTGTTACGCAGTTAGCTATTGGTTGTTAATCGGACTATTGACCAGTCATAATTTGGAACAGAAATTTGCTTCCTTTACAGCAGTGTTAAATGGGATTAACTCTAATCAAAGTAACACTGCAAGGAGTATATCTACCAACACACTTTGTATCTACATTATATCTACGACCTACATATTCTACTCACATAATATATCGACCAAAAGACAACAAATTCTAGATTTTACTCACATAATATATTGACGGTGGTGATATGTGTGTACATTTTTGTTATAGGTTCACCCTCCGTTGGTACTAATACTATGACAGCTTCACATCTATAGTCTCCACCTTCAGTTTTCTGAATGTTTGATATCAGTAGATCTCTCGTAGATAATTTAACAGTTCCACCAGGAGAATACCACTTGTAACTAGATGGCTGTGGATTAGAGTCGACTGAACAATTCAACATCACGTTTGAGTTCACAGTAACATTTACAATTTCATGTGAGGATTCGTCTTTTGGTGCATCTAAAAATATCAGTGAAAACCCTAAAAGACTGATAACAAAAATACTATTATAATGTATTGTTTACAAATTTGCAAATCATGGGATCATAGCAAGTGTGGAACACAATATTCTGTATTTTAACGACGTTTATAAGTTACACAATGTGCATTTTAGCATACATAATGCGATTCCATAATTAATATAAAGATCTTGTACCATCAATCCCAATGAAAAATCACCACACTAAAAGATAAATTACAGTTATAAAGAAGTGTTAGAGATAACTGGACCCATTTTGCATTCTGTGCTATATACAATGGACAACCTGATTATCTGTAATATCAACATTTGTAGCACATCTTTTTGTCCCCAAATTAAATATAATATACACTTTCAAGAGGTTGACACGTTATGACATGGGCGTTAAGCTGACGCCTTATTAAAGGACAATATTGGTGCCAGTCATTATCATATGTGATAGAACTGGTTAAACACATTCCAAATATTATTTTATCACAGAGATCATTTCTACGATAGCTGTGGATTCAATGTTTCAACAATCGGAAGTGACCAACGCAAAAGGAAAACACGAGTTATCCCTCTATATAACTGATTGAAGTGACGGGTGACAACAGGTACATGGGCGAATTTCTGCCTACTAATAATTCCTTCGAAGACCAAAAGTTGTGGTTTCTTAGACTGTGAAAGTATATCTGACAATTCATAAAAAAAATTGACTGTTACTAGATAAGAGAACATGAAAGAAAAATAGAAAAAGTCCGTGCATTACCATGTTTTTATAAGGATAGAATGAATAAACACGCGTGAATGTACGGACTGTTTCTATTGTATTCGTATCCTCTTATCTAATGACATTCAATTACTTTTTTGAATTGTCAGATATACTCTTACAGTCTCATATAACAACTTTTGGTCTTCGAAGGAATTATTAGTGGGCAGAAATTCGCCCATGTACCTGTTATCACCCGTCACTTCAATCAGTTATATAGAGGGATAACTCGTGTTTTCCTTTTTCGTTCGTCATTTCCGATCGTTCTGTTGACTGGCACCAATATTGTCCTTTAACAACGCTTGTGTGGCGACTGAATTCAACTCGTCCCACCACTTATATCGATCATTCTGATACATTTTGTCTTAAACGTGTGTTCAACCCGATTAATTTACTATTGTGCACTAAATATTCGAGTAGGTATTAACGTAAGTTAATGCGGGAAACTTATGATAGACAGCTTTAATGACATTTAGTAATTAAACTGGAAATACACTGGATATAATTCTATAAAATACAATTACTGTTTATTAGTAATTAAACTGGAAATACACTGGATATAATTTCATGGAATATAATTACTGTTTATTAGTAATTACTTGGAAGGGTAATTAAATTAATTAATCGGTGATAATCAATAATTGTATTCAATAGAATAATTGCATTCTATATGTTTCCGGTTTCATTGTTAAAATTCATTGACACATTTTATCGGACATCCGTGTGGAAATATGACGCTCACACTCATCGGTCAAATTGCGACACTATCTAATAAGAACTTCTAGAAAACTGCCAGTGACTTTCACTTTGTTTATAAAACTTCAATGATCAATTAACTCTGGAACACTTTGTATTGTATAACTATGTTTATATATTTTTATGACATCCATAATACAAAGGTTATATACAGGATCCTACACACACAGCTATGACATTAAATATAAGCTAAACCTAAGTTCCCTATACCTTAGCTTGTGTTTTGTACTGCTCTTCTTTTTAAGTCTACATGGCGATCTCCTCGGTTTCTAAGCCGGGGAGACTAAATGTATGTCCCTCTAGGAACAATGCATGTTATCTCTATCCAAGCCGCTAAGCCGAGGAGGCTGTGGGTGTGCCTTCTTCTAAGAACCACGCATAAAGTCGGTATCCCGGTCTCTAAGCCGAGACTCTCTCTATGGCCGCCCTATGATGTCTGAATGATGTCTAAAAAACTCAAACCCCTTTCTTTTTTATAAGGAGGATAAGTGAATGAGTCATAGACTGACCCCCGGGAAATGGGCCAGGTACTTTTTGTTATCTCATTGATCAGCTGCTGAGAAGCTACCCTAGATTTAAACACAATGTTTTAATATAGGAACCAAGCAGGAGAAAAAGTCCGTCTATCAATGATTTATCTATCAAACATCAAGGACAATATAACACTGTTACTAAAATAACATACAAATACCCCGATATACGAAAACGTAACGCCACGATAACTCTTTGGCCAATGCTGGATTGGCTTCTGATACTTGAGGGAGTGTGTCGACTATTCTTCCCGTTCAATTAAATCTACCCCAAGTACAGCAACATGGCAGCCCTTCATTTAATCTGGGGTCTTCCCTAAAACCTTGGACAGTGATTTAAGGTATTAAAAACGGTGATAGTATTGTTCGTCTCCAAACAGTATTGCTTACATTGTATCTGTGTTGATAGCCTCGTTTGTCACGCAATTAGTTTTTCTGCAATATTCTGCTATGCACTGGTTAACTGGGCATACTAAAGTGGGATTAGCTCTAATCAAACGAAACACTGCGAGGAGTATGCGATAACCCGATATCAACGTTTTATCTACCAACACGTAACATTAATGTTATGTTACTTTGTATCTACATTATATCTATGTTCTACTTGTCTTAAATCTTTGCAACTTGATGAATCACCAAACGAAGACTCGTTGCTCGATACGTAATATAAGGAATTTTAAGGACACACTTACATAAAATGTGAACGATTGTTATCTTTGATGATCTGGCAGTTATTGGGCGAGTAGGAGCTGGCGATTCTATCATGGTGCTGGAAGCAGTACACGAATATTCACCAGATTTAGTTCTGCCTATATATGGCATCGTTAAAGTAGTATGTGTTGTTGCTTCAAAATCATATTTAGTTAGGTCTTGGCCATTGGGACCAGTCCATTTAAAGCTAAAAATACTCGGATTAGCTACTGCTGTACAAGTTATAGACAATGTGGTACTCTCGATAACTTTCATTTCCAGTGGTACGGTTACATTCGGTGGATCTAGGAAGATGAGAATATACATTTTCGAAATCTTTAATTTTGTCAACAACGATTAAAGACAAAACATGTTAAACTTAGATGATATCCATAGTTATAAAAAGGTTACAGCTGTTTAGTGAGTCTTACTAACTGAGCCACCCGAAGAACGGAGTATTGGGGAATCGAAACCAGGACAATCTAGTCTACAATGTTTATTCAGAAATGAAGTCTGCCAATGTTTTGAATAAACCCCGTAGACTCAAGAACTTGTTGATTCGATGATATCTTGAACTCGATGAATCTGGATATGGGGCTTTAAGTTTTGGTTTAACTGAATTATAGTAATGGAACCTACATAAGACATTAAGAATTATTGTAGCAGTAATTGTACTGCCGTCAATATCCACGGCACAGGTATAATTTCCGTCATCTGATCTCTGAACTCTCTGGAGTCTGTAAATTGATGAACTTTGACCTGGAATCCTGATTCCGTTCTTCCGCCAGCTATAACCACTTGATGGTATTACTGAGGTTGTGTTAAATTCACATTGTATTTCAAGTTGTCTCCCTTCTGTCACATTATGTGGAACTGTCAGAGGTTTGATTATTATTTTACTATTATCTGAAATATGTTACATATAATAAAATTTACTTGCGTGACTATTTTCTCTCGCAATCTTATAACTGGTCCAAGTTTTTTTTACATATCTTTGATGAGTCCACGATAACGAAACGAGACAGGATCTCGAGGAAATATTTGTTCGGGATATTCTTAATCATATTAAGAATAAAATATTTTGGTTGTCTTATTTCTTTCTGGGATTTTTCGTATTTCATTGACCATTATGATCGAATTTTCTTGTTTTCGCGCGACTGAATGGAGACACTACAAAGACCAAATGAAATGGGGTTCAACGTCCTACTGTTCTGTCCCGACATGAAGACGTCGTTACAAAAGTCGTATACGAAATGCCCAAAATCTCTTGTGACTAGATGTACTTGGGGTTTTCTACAGACTCGAAGATCGTATTCTTAACTCTGTTCCTGCATGGCCATGAAACTTGGTCCACAGTTAGGGGGTTAAAGGCGTTTAACGCATCACTTTTTCAATCTCATTAAAATTTCAAAATCGTTACCAGTTATCTCTTCTAGTGGAAATATGATTTGATCTACTGTAATCACCTCATCACCTATAGGCACAAACACGTATGTTCGTGTTTGTCGAAATAAGAGTCCTTTGAACACCAACATCTCAAAGATAATGTTAGGCCTATAATTTATAATGTAGTTCAGTTTAGTTAAAAGTATATTACCTATCTGACAGCTGATCTTGTCACTGCTTAAACTATAACCATTTTTACATCCACAAGTATGTTGTCCTAGCTGTTTTGGTAAACACAGTTGTTGGCAATCAGAAATTTCACATACACTGGAACCTAAATGTTAAAACAAAGACCGTACTTTGGACCTATATTTCAGAAGCCGTAGCTACTTGATAAATGATAATACTATGCCACACCATGAGCGATTATGACTATAATGATAATGAAATTCTTTTGAACTAAAGTCCTTGTTGTCCTTAATTTGGTCAATAACACGGAGTGGCGAATGATATTCAATTCCAATATCCCATCATCTTTGTGCCAAGTATAAATGAAATCCTTTACTCTTGTAAAAGTGAATATAAACAGAAATGGTCTGACTTCATGCACATGTACATTTACACATGTCAGTTTGGACTACAGCCAGAAACATATACTTTCCGGTTGACCAGTTCTTCACAGGATTGAGGAATCGTGGGTTTTGAACTTAGTGCAGTGTCGTATTATCCTAAAGACTGGCTGGCAGTGTTAAAAGGGGCCCTGTCGTGGAATAATACGGCACACTCAACGCAGTGCCGACGAACTCAGTTGGGTTATATGAGCCCCCCCCCCCCCAACTATTGCCCAAATATTTGCATAGTTATTTTTCATTGAAAACATGGTGGTTATACCTTGTGTTATCTCGGTGTAATTGTAGGCGTACATTCCATACGATCTCTGCAAAACAGATGGCCCGAACTGTTCCAGAAGCGAACCTGCTTTCGTCATACGACTAATGTACCTGTGGAAAGTATAAATGTGATTCATTTATTAGTCAGGTATTCGGAAAGGAAGAAAGGCATTCTCGCCGATCGAAAGGCTCACAACTTAATTTGGATTTAAATACTTTTGTATTTACTCATTTAGAGAATCAACGCAAATAGGAAAATAAACTATTCGCGTGTAATTTTGTAGCCAAGAGCGGTAAAATGAAATGTGTAGGTAGGTGTCGCAGTGTCGCTGGCTTGCATGTTACGTTTTAATCAGGAAAAATCTAAATACAATTTGTACATTAGAGTCATCAGAGTAACAGCTTCAAACTATACTGTTCTGCTTTTTTTGTTCGGTATATCGAAGATGTCCATGTCCACTTCTGATCGAAAAATAAGTTTTAACTTATCCAAGTTTCATCTGTACTGGTATCGGACTCTCATTTCTAAAAAATATACACCTGTAGTGAATCTAGACCGCTACAATCATTGAGAGGGATGACATTGGTGCGGCTTAATGAGCACGCGATATTAACTTTTTTTCATTTGCAAATTAAATTCTAAAACATTTGTTTGAAGTATTAGAAAAATAAATCGCTTTCGCGTAGCCGTTTTTTTCAGTGGCAGTATACCAAGATAAGAAAATATTTCCCATTTAGTGTAAATGGGTTGGTAAAATCAGTAAAAGGCACCATTCTGCCCAGAACAGTTAACGCAACAACGTCTTATGTAAACAATGCACGCGTCATAGACCCGTGGTGTGACGTCACCTGTAGAACGCATACTTAAACTTATAATGGTCAGTCATCTTATACATAGGTATAAGAAAGCTTCCACAATACCTTTGTGAAGCAGATTGCCATGTTTTATTGATCTGTTAAACATTATTTCTACTAACAATATATAAGCTTGGCTTGGTCTCTATTTCTTAATCTATTTCTTAATATCTCTGCCACTATGTTCAGTATATATATTATCAAAAGGGGGATTGGATGGCCGAATGGTTAGCACGTGCGCGCTGTATCATAAGGCCTGTCATTGAGTCAACTGGCGTGGTTTCGATTCCCCGGTTGTACGTGACAAGGAATGGGTTGCCTGTCCAACCTCGTGGGTTTTCTCTGGGTTCTCCGGTTCCCTCCCGCTGCTAAAGACCCCTACGCGCAAGCGAATTATTGAAATAAAAAATTAAAACATATGTTATTCCCGAAATGACCTAGATTGTGTCGAGTGCACGTTAAACCCCATTTCTCTCTCTTTCTCCCTTTATCAAAAATGGTATTTGATTTACATACTTAAAAAAAAGTTTGTTTACAATGACGTAAACTGAATTTTAGAAAACCTGGATAACTGTCATCAGAATAATGGTAATCATGGGTTGACATGTTCGATTCCATCGAGATCACTTAAAAGCGTGCTAATACGTAATAGTGTTTTTTTTATTTAAAAATAATAAAGAACACTATTGCATGTTAGCAAATAAGATCCTTTTTCTGAATATGGCGAGAGTTGTAAAGCATAATATATAAAATTGTCGTTTCTTTCAAACAGGCTCAAAGTTGAATTAGTGTCAGATTAACATTAATTCATTCTGTTTACATATGTTGAAACTAGGATACATATTATTGTTATTTCCACGAACTTGAAATCAATTATAGTTTCAGATATCAGATAGTATTACCCTCCAGTATTCTCTGTCTGCTAAATATAAAAAAATAACGATTGCCCTTTTCTACGTTTAAATACACGAATACCTACGGTTCAGTCCAGTCATTGTAATAAAGGTGATTTCCCATCAGAACAATACTAAAATAGTGAGCCGTTAGTGATTGATAAATAACAGCTCTAGAACTTTTATCCATTGATATAGATTCAATTCTGTGTAGTTTTGCATCTGCCCAATAAACCGTTTTAACTGAAAATATTAACGTATAATGTAATATCACATGATGAAAATGATAATTATACTAACTTATAAACGGGTACTCTTTACCCAGGTCGGAATGCTTTTCATTACGGGTTACATAGAGGCTTGAGGGGGTGATAAGTATTGTTTCATTCAGGTTTTTCTTTTCAGTTCTGTTTCTCGTTTACACGTATTTCACAGAGAAGGAGCTTGCAATGCCCCTAATATTCCTAGAAGCCATAAAGTCACTGGTGCTAGCTTTATAATCAAGATTACATTTTAAGTATTCACTATGAGCTCTGTCGCAAGCTTTTAAAGTAAAATGAATTTAAATTCATTATGCCTAATCTGAACAATCCGATCGAGTTTTTGAAACAGTCTGTTGAGATTGATACCTTTACCGCGTTCACCAGATTCCATAAATTTGATCGTGAAAGGTCCTTCCATAATCCTAAATGAACAATCTTTACCAAGTTGTGCAAATTGTATTGAAAACTTTTTCCTGTATCGCGTTCCCAAACCTAAAATGTCAAAATATGCCCGGAAAGATAATTGTACAAAATGCAGGTGAAATTTGAAAGCTTGCTTGTGTTTATTTCTATAGAACTCTTCCTTATGGGTCACCTAACAATCCCTGTAGATTTGGACTGAATTAAATATAGGCGTAGAAATACCAGAGAGTCATCTCTAAGACCGTTGGGTTATCATGGGTGATTTATTCCAAAACATATAAAACAAATATAATTCGGACTAGTACCTTTTGTGTCTATAGCTAGACCATTCGGCCAGGTTCCATTTGGAAGCGAGAGAAACAAATGTCTGTTCGAACCATCCATGTCAGCCATTTCTATTTTAGACTTGACACCCCAGTCAGTCCAAAACATCATTCTAGATAATAAAAAAAGACGATTTAGTACAAAATTGTCATTTTTAATAGTAATATTTTAAACAGATTAAATAAATATACCCGTGTTTACGGTTAATTTAGGGTAGGTAGGTGAGATTTTTTCTTTGAGTCGGAAGTAGGCTTAAGAAGCCATACGCAAACTGAATTAATATTTTAACAAGCTTCATGCATCTATGTTTTCAACACGTAACAGTTCAGAACGTTAGTAATAATTGTCGATTAAGTACCTATAGTGGGAAACGTTCTGTAGGAATTTCCATACTAACTACAATATTTACCGTGCTCTTTTATATATGTTAAACTGGCATATACCCTTTCTTTAAGTATTATATTAAGCACAGAATGGTTAACTTCTTGATTAAAATGATAAGCAGTGAAACCGACAAATATCTTCTTTTCTGTTATATAAGTCTCTGTTAAAAAGGTATGTAAATCATATTAATGAATGGTTAATGACTATCAAAAATACTCTTGCCGAATCGGTTATGTATGGAACTGCAAACAGGCGCGAAATCCAGTTAACTGACATATGAATTGTTACAACGACTTAAAGATCAATATATTCAAAACTGGTCATTAGTAGTCAGAATTCGAATAAATCTATTGCAAACACGACTTATTGGTCAATTTAAATCAACATTGGTGTTGTTATCTTATCGTGAAAAGTTGGGCTTCTTATATCCAATATTTAAGACAAAATGAAATATTTTTAAACTGGCACGCGAATCCATTCAAGCGCCATTTGTAAAGAAGCGACTCTATGAATGAGGCTTAAACATATCCTACAGGAGAATACTGCAGGTGTAGGTTGGAATAATCAGATGCCAAAGACTGGGTATTTCGCCGAACATAATTGATTAGAAATTACAGTAAAAACAAAACCATTGAAAGTAAATCAGTTTATATACATTCATATTACATTATTATATGCGTTGTGACCCATCTGTGTCCATTTCTAGGTGCCAAAGATTAGAGATTTAGCCCCTTTAACATGTTAGTTTATATTCCCCTTATTTTGTGCAGAAATTGCGTACCAAAAATTGGTTTTCAACGTAGTACTATTGAAGTTTTATTCTTACCCATCATTAGGAAGGATCACAATGGCTCTAGGTTCATCTAATCCTGTGTCAATCAATGTTAATCTATAATCGTAATTATCTAAAGATAAAACATTGATAGTATCTGGTCCTGTATCTGTATAGTATAATAATCTATTTATATAATCTACAGCCATACCATCTACAATAGAAGCTGAAATAAAATCATATTTTCTTTGTTATCTGTCTATTACGTGAATACAATTCATAACAGTAGTATAAATGATGTACTTGTTCTAGAAATAACGAAAATTTGCTAGATAAATAGTTGGCCGTTCTTGTCATATTATTTCAAAAATAGGTAATTGTGCAAAATGAGTATATTGAAAATATAATTAAATTACTTGGAGTCATTATAATTGCTGCGAAAGCATCTCGTTATTAGTTACATGAGCAACCGTATCAGGTGAATCAAACATAGTCTTCTCGGAGTCGGTACTGTAGAGTCAATTTTAACAACATTATATCGAAAGAGAAACGTATTTAGATTGAACAAATGCTATTGTTGATCGACAGCTTATTCTTGTTACAGCCTAAGTTAAAAGAACACTGATAATATGTCTCTGCGTTAAGTCAACAAACTCCTCGCATTTAACGGTTCCCTATAGCTGAAGCTAAAATACAAAACAAAGGTAGTAAATTTAGCCGAGAAGCTGCTATCTGGCGACTTAAAATATGAAATCAGCAATTTTACATGGATCAAAACAGGATAGTATTAATTTATTAGATTCGTACTTCCGGTTGATCCTGTCACTGTTTCTGCCATGTTTCCCTTTAAGTCTGCCGTTCTTATCAAATGGTTGACGTTATCACTCCAGTAGACCTTGTCTGTTGTTGGGTCAAAGGACAGGGCTACCGGGCTAGCATTTAGCGTTATGGGTATTTTTTTTATTTCTCTTGTTATGACATCTAATCCGAATATCGCAGTCTGTGGTCCCTCGGCACCAAGAAGAAATTCTCTTTTAGCAACAACTGTAATAGTAAAAAAAACAAAATACGTGTTCCAGTGACATATACAGAGGAGTTAGTACTAAACATTTGACATTTGGGGAGTGACATTTGCAAACAAATTACGACACAATTTGTCTACACTCTTGGGCTAAACAGTAGAATTTGTCTTACAATGTGGTCGGAAATACTTTTGGGTTTTTTAACTTAAACTTAATTCATATTTAATTTTTCGTAGTGACATCTACGCCGAACATACCAATCTATGGTCCCTCGACACCAAGAATGAATTCCGTTTTGGCAACAATTGTTACAAAAGAAATATAATACGTTACCCACGTATGAGATCAGGAAAAACCTCTCCCAATATTTGCTGAAACAACTGAAATTTGACCCGGACGATTTGGGTGGTGAAGTTTATCTAACAAGAGGGGCGTGAAATACAGTGTATATTGTTACTGTGGTCGGAAATACAATGTGGTCCGAAATACTCTTTGTATGTGTGTATTCACTTTATTAAGAAACTATTAAGGGTCGACACACAGCTTTAAAGGTGTTCCTACAGACTGTAGTAAACTTTCCAACTAGTTCCATTGCCCTATCATAAACATTAACCGTGACCAACAATGATAACAAATATTGAACAATTACAGAAAACGAGATGCTTATGGAGAGGGGGTCTATAGGCTTCTGCCTGTTCTCCAATCCAGTTTCTGTGAAAAAATATTGTTTAGAAAAATAATTGTCTAATGTTATAATATCAAAGTGCACTGCCGTATTCCTAGTTTGATATTAAAATATTCCAAATGATGCCGATCTGGAGGTGAAATAAGTCACATATTTGACCCTTTGCATACATGATGTTTCTAAACACCATCCGTCTTCATTAGCCCAGTTCGGAGCAGAACAGTAGGACGTTAAGTTAAACCCCATTTCATTTCATTTCATTTGTAAAGACCAGGAAAATTAAAATCATATAACTATAGGATGTTTATTAAGCGGCTATTAAATGAAATAACACTCGTATATTCTTCTGCTGTATTCTTCAATGTCAGATATCCGAACATGGACTTTTAGCAGAAACAGATACCTTAAAAAGCTTTTCAAATATCTCTTATAGCTACATTTGTTATTACCTTTATGTAGCCTTGAAAAGTTTCTTCGGGGCAGCAAACTGAATTTCCAATTCTTAAACCAGTAGAGGACAAAATGAGGATCCTTATTTTGTTTCGTCAAATTTCTTTGCTGAAACCTGTCCACAAGGCTTGTAATGTCAGAGTTGTCATCAGAGTTTTTTTTAAACGTGCAGGAAACTTGATAAACCTGTTCACGCTGTCTCTGCTTGTAATGTTTGTTAGCACAATAGAGGCCAGGGTTTTGGTCATGAGAGAACGAACGATATCGATATTCAACGTCCAGCGCCCTTCTTTCACAGAGTTATACCCCCTTTCCCAATAGCTTGTGAATGTGATAGAAACTACATATCTTTTTCAAATTTGATGTGAGCATGAGAGAACGGAACCTTACGATATTCAGCATTCAGAGGACGTCTTCTCTGGAGTTGTGGCCCTTTTCCCAATAGCTTGTGAACGTTATTGAGGCTAAAATCTGCGGTGTAGGGGTATTCGACGCTTTGCCTGGCTATTTTTGTGAATACATTCTACATACAAGTTCATGGCTATTTTTGTGAATACATTCTACATACAAGTTCATGTAATCATTGAAAGATTATTATATATATATGTTGACATTCATATTCTTTACACAGTTCTGCAAGTGCACCTGATTTTTAATCACATTTACGTTCAATAAATAAATTGTAAGTGAATCTCTTAAAGATACATAATGGGAGATTAGATAAAGACCTGGCAGTCTCACTATAATAGTTAAAAACTGGATAATGTAAAGGGAATTTGCTGAAAATTTCATTCAAATTGATCCACTCTGAACTGAAATTTAAGCGATTGAATTTTTGACCTAGCCTCGGTACGATAAAAACATAGTCTCGATTATCCATTTCATGATTAAATCATGAATGGAAATCGAACAGCAAATCGGAACCTAATCCAATAAACATCCCAGACTAGCGATGACTTCGAGAGTTGATTATGGTCTGGATAAGTTAATTAATGTCTAATTTATACTTTAGATAATATTTCAGGCCTAAAGAACGACCTGCAATAGGCAGATTTAGCATTAGATAATATATGTTTAACATATATCAAACTCCCTGTCGCGCTACATCAGAACATGTATACATCATCGACACGACTGCTTGGTTAATCCGCCTGAGTTAAAATATTGCATAAAATTGCCAATAGATCATAGACTTTCTAAGTGTGTTTTATTTGTATTCTTACCTCTAACTTTCAGCGAGATATTTAGACTGGTCCCAGAACATGTCCATAGCCCAGTATCTCTTATTCTGGACACATTTCTTATATTAACTGATATTTTGTTTGGGGTTTGCTCCTTCAAGGTGTAGTATGCACATTTAGAGTTGTTGGTACAATCAGGTATTGATAATCCATCTTTAGATAGAGAAACAACAATATCTTCAGTATCAGTACAAGATATAACCCCAGAGTTACCTTCAACTAGAATAGATGGTACTGCTGCTAGACGTGGTGCTCCTGAAACAAAAGTATATCTTCTGTGTGGAGAATAGAATACGGATATGTGGATTTATGGTGTAAATGAAACAACGGCAAAATGATAATGGGGACGCTTATGTACCGGCAATAGGATAAAGGCTTATGCTGAAGTTCAATTACAGATAGTCGAATTGAGATGATTCAACACCAAATGTTAAAGATACCGCATACAAACTGTGTGATTTGATGATATTTTTACACTAAAACCATATTCAAACTAACTTATTTATCATATCTATCAAAACTTTGCTTCCAATCCCTCTCAAAACAATTTAAT